TTTGGGATGTTGTGTCTTCGGGGGAGGCTTCGAACGCTTCTCCGGTGCCTTCTCAGACGAGGCGGCAGGGCCTCTCGGAAGGCCGCGGGGCTGCTCAGAAGGCCGGGGGACTCCCGAGCCTTCTGAGAAGGCCCCGCCACTTCTCACTTCCCCCCTGGGCTTAAGTCGGGCATGTCCCTCTACAGGAGGAATATTCAAAAATAGTTTTGTTCGAAAGTCTGGGGGCAATTCTTGACTATTGCTGTCGGTTTTGTGCATCTCCTCTGGTTATTTTGCAGATTTCTTCTTCCACCAAAGCCCGCCTGTAGGGGGGCTCGCCGCCGAGAAAAGCTGCCCCAAGGGGCAGGGGCCCGAGTCTCCGGGGCCGCGCACGTGAATAGGGCGACGATCTCTATACATATCCACTGCTCCCGGCCATGCCAATCCTGGGCCCAAGAGCTGTGTATACGCCCTCCTGGCTTGGCCAGGGAGGCATATACACCGCTCCTGGGCCCAGGATGGGCCTGGCCAGGAGCAGTGGATATGCATAGATCTCGTCGCCCTAGTGAAGAAGAACATCGTCGGAGGTCCAGGACCGGACACCTGTGCCGATCCTGGCCGGGCCGACCCCCCCGGGCGCGCCGCCGAGAACAGCTGCCCCGGGGGGCAGGGGCCGGGGCCCCTGGGGCCGCGCACGGGAGGAGGAGGAGGAGGAGGAGGAGGAGGAGGAGGAGGAGGAGGAGGAGGAGGAGGAGGAGGAGGAGGAGGAGGAGGACGAGGACGAGGACGAGGAGGAGGAGGAGGAGGAGGAGGAGGAGGAGGAGGAGTCTGGGGCCAGACATCTGTGCCGAGCCTGGCAGGGCCGAGCCTGGGCCCAGGAGCGGGCTCAGGAGCGGCAACGACAGGCTCAGGTCGGGCGTGTCCCCAGACAGGCGGATCTTGGACGGAAAATGACAAGAGAGTCAAAAGCACAAGTTCTAAATCATGTCAGACATCCATGTGTTGATTAAGTTTGAAGATCCCTCCCGGAGAGGGACCTGCCCGACGTCAGGGAAACACCGACCTGGGATTGGAGATGCACCGCCGTCAGGCCTGCGGCAGGCCCCCGAGAGACGAGTCCGCGCGCTGCTGGGCGGAGGCGGGCACTCGGAACGCTGCCTGCCGACCCAGACCCCCGACGTCGTGAATTTTTCATGACGTCGACCCCTCAGGAGGTCTGGACCCCTTCCCCGGGACCGGTTTCTCGTCCGGAGTCGTTTTTTGACGGTCCCGAGGGCCGGTAAGGGCCCCCAGAGGCCGAAAATAGTGAAAAACCTCCCGTCGTGATTTTTTCACGACGCGAGGGGGTCTGGGTGCCGAGGATGCGTGGGCGAAGGGGGGCTCGACGCGTCCCCCTCCGGGGCCGGAAGGCCCCCTCTCGGACTCGAGCCCCCGACGGCACGACAACTTTGTCCATGACGGCGACCCCCATGAGGTCTCGACCCGCTCCCTGGGACCGGCGCGTCATCCTGAGGCCGCTTCTGACAGTCCCGACGGCCCAGCCCCAGACCCCCTCGAGTAATGAAAAAATCACGACGGGAGGTTTTTCGCTATTTTCGGCCTCTGGGGGCCCTCACCGGGCCTCGGGAGCGTCAAAAAACGACTCAGGATGCAAAGCCGGTCATGGGGAAAGGGTCGGGATCACTGGAGGTCGACGTAATGAAAAAATCATTACGTCGGGGGTCTGGGTCCCTGGGACCGGCGTGTCATCCTGAGGCCGCTTCTGACAGCCCCGACGGCCCAGCGGGGGCTCCCCGAGGCCGGAGATCGCGACACGCCTCCCGCCGCGACTTCTTTTCATGGCTCGAGGGGGTGCGGGGGAACGCTGGGGAACGCCGCCCCGGAGCCCAGCGCTGGCCTGGCCAGCATCGGTGCAGGTGTTCGGCGGCGAGCCCGGGGGGGAAGTGAGAGGGGGCGGGCCTCCTCGGAAGGCTCGGAAGTCCCCCGGCCTTCCGAGAAGTGTCCCGAGCCTTCCCCGGACGACGCCACAAGGACTTCTCAAAGGCCAGAGGGCTTCCGAGAAGCGCCGCCGCCTTCTGAGAAGGCCTTATCCTTCTCGCTTCCTCCCCTCGCTCGCCGCCGACGGGATCGGTGCAGTGGCCCTGGGTAAGAGCGACCTTTGGTGCGCGGCTTTTTGGGGGGAGCGGGGGAACCAACCCAGACATGCGACGTCCTGATTTTTTCAGGACGGCATCCCTGGAAGTCCCGACCCTTTCCCCCGGGACCGGTTTTTCGTCCTGAGTCGTTTTCTGACGGTCCCGAGGCCCGGCGAGGGCCCCCAAGGGCCGAAAATAGTGAATAACTTGCCGTCCTGATTTTTTTTTACGACGCTATCATGTCTGGGAATCACAAGCGAGCAAGACGCCACTGCCACACCGCGCTCGGCGATCCGGAGGCCCCAATTGGGCCCGCGCCAAAGGTCACTCCATCGCGAAAGGGCTTTGCAACGAAGGATTGCAAAAAAACCCGAACGAAGGATTGCAACAAAAACCCTTCGGGTTTTTTTTGCAATCCTTGTTTTTGTTTTTGCAATCCTTGGTTTTGTTTGGTTTGTTTTGCAATCCTTCGTTTTTTTGCAATCCTTGTTTTTTTTTTTGCAATCCTTGGTTTTTTTTGGCTTTTTGTTTGCAATCCTTGATTTTGTTTTGCAATCCTTGTTTTTTGTTTTGCAATCCTTGGTTTTTTGCAATCCTTCGTTTTGTTTGCAATCCTTTGTTTTTGTTTGCAATCCTTTTTGCAAATCCTACGTGCAGTCGAAAGCTTTGGCGCCCTGCGGCCTCGCCGCCGGGCCCCCGCGCGCGCTCCAGCTCCTCGAGGAGGCGCGGGCAGAACACGTCCCAGCCCGCGGCCGGCGTGGCTCCTCCTCATCCTCCTCCTCCTCCCCTCCTCCTCCTCCTTCTCCTCCTCCTCCTCCTCTTCTTCTTCTTCTTATTATTCTTCTTCTTCTTCTTCTTCTTCTTCTCGCTCCAGCTCCTCGAGGAGGCGCGGGCAGAACACGTCCCAGCCCGCGGCCGGCGTGGAGTCGAAGACGACGACCACCAGGGAGAGCAGGAGCTCCTGGCCCAGACCCCCTCGAGTCGTGAAAAAATCACGACGGGATGTCCTTCCTAATTTTCGGCCTCCGGGGGCCCTCACCGGGCCTCGGGAGCGTCAAAAAACGACTCAGGATGCAAAGCCGGTCATGGGGAAAGGGTCGGGATCACTGGAGGTCGACGTAATGAAAAAATCATTACGTCGGGGGTCTGGGGGGGACGCGCAGGGGCCTGCTGGTATACCGTGTTCGGCGGAGAGCGAGGGAGGGGGGGGGGGGGAAGTGAGAAGAAAAGAAGGCCTCCTCGGGAGGCGGCGGGGCGTCTCGGAAGGCCTCCGGCCTTCTGAAAAGTGGTCTGCGTCGCCGGGGGAGGCTGATAGAACACTTCTCGGAAGGCCGGGGGACTTCCGAGCCTTCTGAGGAGGCCCGCCCCCTCTCCCTTCCCCCCTGGGCTCGCCGCCGACTGCTAGTACTGTGTGTCCTTCTCGGAGGCGTGCGTCCGAACCGAACACCAACCAGCTTGAAGTACATCGTCTCCCGAGCGGCACGCACAGAAAGGCGCCCGCCACGGAGCATGCACTCTAAGATCTCTCGGCGCGCGCGTCGCCCCTATGGGGGCGGAGCGCACACAACGTTGGTATGTTTGGCTGGCGCCGAGCTCCTCCTCGACGCCGGCGCGGCGCAGCGCGCGGGCTGCCAGGAAGTCCCGGCCCATCCGCCGCGCGCGCACGTGCAGCTCCGTCTCCGAGGTGCAGCCGGTGCTGTCGAGCCCGGCGATCTGGAGCTCGAGGCCTTCCACCTCGCCGGCGAAGGACACGTTGACGGCGTTGGGGCACTCGAACTCCATCGTTTGGGTGTTGCTAGAAGTGCCACAGGCCCAAGGTGCCCACAGGACTTCAAGGAGGCTCGCACGGCCTCGAGAGCACCCATCGCGAGGCCCAGAGGGTCCCTGGGGCTTCAACATTGGGCGACAGCTGGGGGCACCGTGGGCCAGGTGCACAATTCGCGACCCCCGAATCGTAGCCGGGCGCCACCGCTGTTCGACCGCGTGTCGCCGGCTCGTCCGGTAGCAAATCATGGGAGCCTGGTATACCTCCTTGGTTCCGTCTTTCGCGTCGATTAGCGTCTGGGAGTCGATGAGGTAGCGCCGAAACAGTGTCGGCTAGCATCGATGAGCGTCGATTTAGCGTCGATGAGCGTCGATTCAGCGTCGATCCGCAAGAGCCGACGAGATGGTGTGGGAGGCTCCCGTGGGTTGCCACCGAAGGCTCGGCTCCAGCAGCGACAGGGTGGAGAAGGGCAGCGGCACCAGCTGCGACAAGCGGCAGGTGGCAGCCACGGGCGTGGCCACGCGCAGAGCTCCGTTGCGCCGCCACTGCGACCAGACCGGGGCCTTCTGGGCCCAGGGGCACGCCAAGACATGGACACAGATCCCAGGATCCCCGCTATGCTTTCCAATCTTTTCTGGAGTTGAGCGTCCCCCCCCCGCTTCCCATCTGTTCCCATCCTCCCTGGTGATCGGCGATGAGTTGTGTCTGTGTGTGTGTGTTCTTTTGGTCCCCCGCCTGGCCTTCGTCTGCATGCATCGGCTGCCCGCGGCGCCCAACACCTCCACGCGCTGCTCGAAGAAGCGCTGCTCGTCTGCGGCGAAGCGGTGGCAGTCCGAGCGCGGGCTCGCCGCCTCCCGCGCCGCGAGCGCGTCGAGCCGCCGCATCGCCTCGCGCTTCCGCGCCTGCGTGGCCGCCGAGGCCGCCGCGCGGGGCAGCGCGGTGGCCAGCGAGCGGGGCAGCCGCTCTCGGCAGGAGCTCAGGTCGCAGACCCACGACGTGGAGGAGCCCTGCGACAGGGCCAGGTCCGGCTCCGCCCCCGCGAAGTTGCGCGGCACGGCGTCCTCGAGGCGCGCGGCGGCCGTGGCGCCGAGCGCGCGCGCGGCCGCCCGCGGCGGGGGCGCCGGGGAGGGCCTCCAGGCCATCTCGTGGAGGGCAGCGCGCCCGGCCTCGACCTCCCGCGCGTAGCGCTGCGCCCGCGCGTGGTTGTACAGGATGTCCGCCGAGGCCAGCGGGGGGGGCACCGTGAGCTCGCCGCTGCAGTCGCCCGCCAGCAGCGACACCATCGCTGCCAAGTGGAGCGCGTCCCTGGCCTTGAGGGGCTGCTGCCGCGCGAGGTAGTTCTGGGCGCACACCGAGAGGAACGCGGCCTGCAACGGGGCGCACCTCGAACGCTCCATCGAGCTGGCGGCAATGAACCCACGCAGCCTCTCCTCCACCGGCCTGGTGACGTCGAACCCCCAGATCTCGTCACAACCTCGCAGCGCGGCTACCGACTGGAACTCAATGGAGCTGGGCTCGCCCATGCGGGCGGCGAAGTGGGGACCGTGCAGCCCCACCGCGACTACGGACTGGTCCACCTGCTGGCGGCTGAGCGTCGGACAGTCGCAGAAGCCTAAGCTCCCAACCACAGCGCCCCAAGTCTTGCTGGTGTCCAGCAGCTTGAGCCACAGGCTCTTGAAGCCGAGCGCCACGCGCAGCTCGCCCGTCTCCAGGCCCTGCGTGCGGCGGGCGCCACGCGCGTCGATCTGCGCACCTCTGGGGAAACCAAAAGGCACCGATACCGCTACTCCCCAAACCTCTCCCAGGGTGCGTTCTGACCAGGATTTCCAGGCGCATCCAGCGGTGGCGACGAGGGCCTCCCAGGAGGCCGAAGAACGGAAAACGGGCGAAGGGTAGCGGTATGGGTGCCTTTTCCTCCTCTGAACCTCGCAGCTCGTGATAGGCAAGAAGGCCTTTGAGCACCGGCACCGCGCAGCGGTGCGGGTCCGCCGGCGCGGCGGCGCTGAGCGCCGAGAGCCGCTGCGCCAGCGCGACCTCGACGCGCAGCAGCCGCGCTCGCAGCAGCGCGGGCGCGCAGGCGCCCGCGCGCGCGCCCCGGGCGAGGCGCAGCCACTGGCGCGCGGCGCGCTGCGCGGCAGGCCGAGCGAGCTTCGCCCCGAGGTGGAGGCTGCGCACACGCCGAGCGTGAGGGGCAAATTTTCCACCACCGCCACAGTGCGTGAGACAGGGGAGGAGGGAAGATCAGGAGGTCCTCCTCCTCCTCCTCCTCCTCCTGCTCCTGCTGCTCCTGCTGCTCCTCCTCCTCCTCCTCCTCCTCCTCCTCCTCCTCCTCCTCCTCCTGCTCCTCCTCCTGGTGCTCCTCCTCCTCCTCCTCCTCCTCCTCCTCCTCCTCCTCCTCCTCCTCCCTCTCCTACCTGTGCAGGTGGTGGTGGAAAATAGGCCCATCAGAGCGAGCAGGACTGCGCGAGCGGCCAAGCAACCAGCCCGTCGGCCTCCCGGCGACGGCAGCGGCCCGGCCGCCGCAGAGGCAGCCAGCCACGCCAACAGGAGCAGCGGGGCCATGCACGCCGAGGGAGCTCAGCGCCCCGAGGCGCGGCCTGGCATGACAGCGGGGGGCGCATCCGCCAGAACGGCGCAGCCACAACAGCCAAACGGCTATGGATCCCGGCTCGTTCATGTGTACGGTAAGGGCACTGGATAAGGAACCCTGAAGTAAGGAATCCAGGGTCTGGAAGCCGGCGAAACTACGATCGTGGATCGGCCATGGATAGCACTGCCGCCGTCATCAGACAAGGAACCCCCCCAGGGTCTGAAGCCTCCTGGGCCTGCTCCTTACCGAATACCCCCGCCGTATTGTCTATGGAGCTTGGGACAGCGAAGCACAAGCCGGGAGCCCCAAGGGCTCACGCGCGCCCGAGGAAGCTGGTCCATGCTTTCCCCTCCTAGCGATCGTTTGCCAATCCAAGGTCGGCCCCTCGGCCACTCGTGAAGCCATGCGGCCCCACCACAGGCACAGGCCGAACTCGATGGTCCGACAGAAATAGCCCAGGCTTGGATATAGCACGCCTCCGCACAGAAGCCACTCCGCATCATTCGAACCGGCGGTGTCTTGTCTATTGGCGCGTAGCCAGTCGGCGAGGAACGACGAAGATAGACTTCGCTACCGTCTATCATGCGCAACGAATCCGCCACAGTGCCTCCGACACAAGGAGTGGAGTGCCCTCAGGCCCGATAATCGTCCCCAGTAGTCCTGCAGGCTCGCCTGCTGGCTTGCCCCGAGACCTTGAACCAGCGGCTGGGAACCACGGCCTCCAACATGCGCCAAGAGTGGCCACAGGGGCTCGCGTTGGGGCCATATTGGGGGTCGGCTGAAGATCTCAGCATGCTGCAATCATCGGAGGCGTACTGAACCCAACTTCTCCCTCTTCCTCGTCTTCCTCCTCCTCCTCCACCTCCTCCAAATCATCATCATGGTCATCATCATCATCATCATCATCATCATCATCATCATCATCATCATCAGCATCATCATCATCATCATCATCATCCTAACCACCATCATCATCATCACCATCATCATCATCACCATCACCATCCTCATCAACATCATCATCATAATCAACATCATCATCATCATCATCATCATCATCATCACCATCACCATCGTCATCATCTTCCGCAGCATCATAATCAGCATCACCATCATCATCAGCATCATCATCAGCATCACCTGCAGCAGCATCACCACCTCCATCATCGTTTTCAACACCAACATCAACATCGATACCATCATCAGCATCATCACCATCATAATCATCAACATAATCATCATCATCATCAGCAGCAGCAGCATCATCATTAGCATCATTATCATCATCATCATCATCATCAGCATCATCATCATCAGCATCGTCATCATCAGTAGCAGCACCAGCAGCACCCGCACCACGCTCCCCATCTTCCTGCTCCTCCTCCCCCAACTTGCTGCTGCTCCTCCTGCTCCTCCTGCTCCTCCTCCTCCTCCTCCTCCTCCATCTCCTCCCCCTCCTCCTCCTCCTCTTCCTCCTCCTCCTCCTCCTGCTCACTCCGCCTCCTGCTTCCCCCTCCTCCTCCTCCTCCTCCTCCTCTCATCATCATCATCATCATCATCATCATCATCAACATCATCATCAGCATCATCAGCATCATCAGCATCGTCATCATCATCATCATCATCATCATCATCATCATCATCATCATCATCATCATCATCATCATCATTGTCATCATCATTGTCATCATCATCAACATCTTCATCCTCATCCTCCTTCTCCTCCTCCTCCTACTCTTCCTCCTCCTCCTCCGCCTCCTCCTCCTCCTCGTCCGCCATCCTCCTCCTCCTCCTCCGCCTCCTAAGCTGCCATTTCGCCCACCGAGCAATTCAGACAGCTCTCTCCAGACCCACTCCCAACCCCACAGTTCACGAGGAGTCATGTGGTCGCGATGAGGCCACAGGACCACGTGCCTACCCCCCGTGCAATACAACCCATTGTCTTGCCGCCAGGATAGACTGGCGGAGATCGCTCGGGAGTGCAACAACTTCGATGCGATAGCCCTCACGGGGACTCAGAGACGCAGGCAGGGGATAGAGGCGACCAAGGGGATTGTCGAGGATGCAGATTACGTAGACGCAGGATGTGGAGACACGGAGGTTTCGAAGAAGTCCGCAGGGGTACTAGTGGCCTGGCGAGGTTATCTTCGGGGAGCTCAACTTCTGGAAGTCCAAGAACCACCAAGCGATCTCTTGGGTAGGGGCCTCTCCGTGACCCTCAAGATGCCCCATCACTACGTGCAGGCTATTGCCGTCTACTACCCGCCGCAGCCGAAGACGAGTACCGCACGCAGAACATATCACTACATAGTCAAACAGATCACATCTTGGATAAAGACACTACTGACTAAACGCAGACCTGGAACTCTGGTGTTTATCTTGGGAGACATTAACGATGGCATCGGGGCAAACAAACAAGGGGAACGAATCGAAAGCATAGCTACGGGTCCAGGGACATCGACCGAAAGACTTCCTGGGGGAGCAGGCCAACAGGTCGACACCTAGCTGAACAAAATAACATGTCCGTCACGAACATACTAGGATCTTGGAGACCGACCTTCTTCGGGGACATGGGCGTCTCGAGCATAGATTACATCTTGGCGCCCTGGGATGTGTGCTCAAACTTACGATCGAGCGGCCCGTTCATGAGACTGGGCAGCAGACTACAAGTGATCCCGAGCAAGTCCCACAGGGACCACGTTCCCGTCCACGCTGTATTTCATCTACGAACGAGACTGGCAAGTGGACGGGGACCACGCCCACCTAAATGGGACAAGGATGCACTGGCGAAGGCGGTCACTCACAATATCGGACGACGGGACTTTGTTCAGGAGCTCAACCACACTGTCGCAGCATTCACGCTGGAGACCAACGACACGGACGTCGACGAGTACGTCCAAAGCTGATCGAAATAATGCGGGAGGTAACACACAGGCACTTTGCAGATCGTGGAGTACGAGACTCAGTATACGCCGCACTTCGTGATGACCGCATGACGTTACTGACGCAATAACGCGACCTGCGAGAGGCATTGCATGTTACAGTACGAGATCCACAATTACCGGAAGACCAAGCAGCAACACGAGCGCTGGAGATTGAGACGAGATTGAAACACCTCACCAGACAGTGCGCCATTCGTAGAAGAGCACTGCGAAGGGCCCTCACAGAACATCGAGTGGAAGAACTATGGCAAACATGGGAACAACGGGATCTAGCATCAGTGGGACGCTTATCCAGATTAATAGCAGGAGGCAGACACGGACCACGAAAACGAGACTTCTGGACAGTCACTACTTCACAACCGACTACACAGGAGTGGACATCATTTTGGAGCCGACATGGTGGTGAAGGGGGGATGCTAGAGGAGAAGATCGCCCCCGAGGACGTCACCGACCTAGAGTGCTTCTGTGAGTCCAAGACCGAGGAGGAGGTGCTGGAACACAACCCACACGAGCTGGAGTACCTATCACAAAGGTTCCAGAAGGCCAAACTCAGAAGAACAGTACCAATCACATCGGTCCCGAGTGAAATCTGGAGAATGATGCTAACGGATCCTGCAGACAAGCCACAGCCGCACGGACTGGGCTACGACGCCAACATCGAGCAACCAAAGGAATTTCGGGAGGCCTGATTGCGTGGCCTGATGGAGCACCCGTGCATTGGCATAGCAGCGCGGCAACAGTGGTGAAGAAGGATGGGAAGCCAGGACCAGCTGAGAACCGCGTGTATCACATACTCGCCCCACTCGGGAACGCGTTCTACGCGGCAGGGCTGGCCCGAGCTAAAGGACGTGAGTTCACCGATCTAGATTACGGATTCGTTCGAGGACGAGGGCGCCATATTGACGGCGGCCATTGTTGAATACAGAGCCAGACAGAGCGGACGTAGTTTCATGACATCAATGAAAGATATGAGCAATGCCTTTGCCAGCTGTTCTTGGCTGAGAATGGACGCGGCGAATTCTGAGATACGTCCCCAGCAGATGTGGAATATTGGGGAACAACGGTACAGACACGACAGTTTCAGAGTCCCATGTCGAGACGACGCCGAAAGAATCATGACACACCCGAGGTGTGGAGGATTGATAGGAGACCCCTATATGGTCCAGAATGTTGTCGCGACTTTTGCTCCAGGAGTGCGTGACTGGATTGCAGACTGCCAGCAGCGCCTCACCTACGACCACATGTTGTGGGGCCAGTTTTCGATGTTTAAGGAGCCCATTTACGTCGGAGTCACCAAGTACGCCGACGACCTTCGCAAACTGCTACTCGGACCATCTGTGCCTGATCCGCAGTTCCTAGCCCAGGAGGCGCGCCTTGCAGACGATCTACTCGACGCACGGCTGCGCCATATTGGTCTCCAGCAAAATCGAGGAACACAAGAGAGCATAGTACACTTCGGGGGAT